TCTTAATAATATTCTCTTTCCCTCTGCTTACCCCCTAATCTGCTTTATTATAACTCCCTATACTCCTTACTAATTCGCTTCATTAACTGACCTCTTACTGTTCTGCCTTTTTGTTTCTGCTACGCTATCTAACCTAAAACTGGCCCTGAAATCTTTAACACTATATCTGTATTATATTTACGCTCTTATATCCCCTTTTTATTTCTGTTTTTTCCCTTCTCTCCGGCCCCTTTCTCTGCTCTTTCTATCCTTCCATTGTTGCCTATACCTTTTGCTGCTCCTTGTATCCCCCCCTTCTTGCTCCTTGCTTATTATTTATCCCCTCTGTTACTCTTTGTCATCTTCCACCTCCTGCTCTCTTATGCTATTAAATCTTTCTGTGTGAAAAAACATCCGATGCTCTGTTTTCTATTATCCTTTACTACTATACTTCCCTACTCCCTACCCTAAACTGTTGTACTCCTATGTACGGCGCCTACTCGCCCCGCCTTGCCCTGCCTGATCACCCCTCTGCTACGCCCTCTACTGCCTTCTGCCACAACTGGCTTGTCAACCGGCCTAACTTGCTTGACTGTACCCCTCCCCATTGGATCATCTGCCCTAACCACTTATATACCTCCTTCTCGCTCGATGCCCATTCCTCTAACCCGTCCGCCCTGCGCATCGCCCTCACCATCTCCTCGTACACCTTCGACCCTACACCAATCGTTGCGACGGCGAACATCGCAACTATCACCCCTTTATACTGGCATGAACCGCCCTCAACCTCCGTGAACTGCCCGCCGTCCTCGCCCAACGCCTCCTATCGCCGACACCAACCCTGCGGCAACCCGCAATGGAAACAACTGCTGAAATTCTCCATCCTCCGTCCGTCGAACATAGCCTCCTCAATCTGCCTCCTATACCTACATGGATAGCCGTGTCTCGACGCGTTCCGGCATAGAGTAATTGAGTAGTAAAAGTAAGATGTGATGATAGCTATTGTAGACGTGATAATAGTTTGGACCCGGACTCCTGTTTGGGGACCTGATTCCTTCCAAGCTAACTATCACATCTAACAGTGGGCTAGGAGCCAAAACAGCCGTAGGAGGCGCGGGCACCGGAGCCCGTCCACTTCATCCATCTCCTCCAGCCAACTACGTATATACTCAGGCCCGTTCAACAGCAGACCTGGCCAGTCCGTCCAGCCCATCGTCTCTAGCACTATCGCGCCTAATGTGCTCACGCCCGTGCCGGCGCCGGTGCCTCCTACGATCATACACGCCGTGACGAACCGCTGGACGACCTTTACCCATGCGCATGGCACCTCCTTATACAGCACGTCCGCCGTCGCTAACGCCTCTTGCTGGTTGCCGTACTTCTCGTCCATCTGTTCCCGGTAGGCTGTCCGCCAGCAGAGCGTCAGCGGGAACCGGCACACGTGGCACCACGCCCCCGTCCCGCCGCCGCTAGCTCGGTATGTCCGGAACATTGCTAGCCAGCTCTGGGCTTCCGACGATTCCGCCCGATGCGAGCACCTTTTCAGCTTGTGCGTCTCTACTATCGGCCCCCATTCATAAAAGGCACAGAGCGCACAGCCGACATCCCTGCTTCGCAGCCGGGCTCTGAGGTCGCAGATCAGTGGGTCGGATGCAGTATGCCCACGGCGCTCAGGCAAGCCTATTGGGGTCGGGGGTGAGTAGACGGTGATGGCTGACAGACGCCTGTATATCTCGGCTGGGTCTGAGAGCTGTTCCCTGGGCCGCAATGCTGCGTTGGGATGGGCTCTAGCTGTCCCTGCTGTTGGAGAGGTGCCTCCGGTAGGTATCTGGAGACGCGCCTGTCGCTCTGCTGCCCGCCGCTCGGCGTCGCGCCGCTGCGCAGCCCGACGCTGCTTCGCATTGAGAGGCGGCTGTTGCGGGGCGCACCTTGTGTTTGGGGATGTGGGGAGCGCTGAGCTGCCCCTCTGATGGCGCAGCCTACTTAGAGCATCCTCTGGTAGTTGTTGCGGGGGTGGTGGTTGACCGGCCTCACTTATAGTAGTGTCCTCCTGGGGCGTGGTTACTGCGTTAGGTGAGCCGGCCTGAGGGCTGGTTGGCAGCTGTTCTCGCGTGTCCGAGATGCTCTTGATCATCTGTTCATAGTAGGAGTCCGCCTGAGTGGGCATAGTGAGGCAGGTTGCTATGTATATAATAACGATAGCGGTTCAGCTTCTTGCCTGTGCGTTGGGTGCGGCTGGGACGGACTATGTATACTGGGGGATCGCGGGAATGACGGGGGCTGGCTCACCCCTGGCGTCGTTGGAGGACCGCGATGTGGGGCACGTGATGATAAGATACCAAGTATCTCAAGTGCAAATCAGGTAACCTGACCATAGTACGAGGGAACCTGTTTTAGGGAAACATTCTTCTTTTGTGTGATAACATGACATAGGTTCTTTGTATAGCTGTATTTGTATATATCCTTTGCCATAAACGCTGCAAATAGTATATGGGATACTTTCCAGCCTACTTTTGCTGCCAATTACGTTACGTATGAAGCGAATGTACGGCCTGATAGCAGCATCTCTTAGTCATCCTCCCATGTGGGGGTCTCCACTACGGCGCTTAAGCATGTCTAGCGACACGGCTTCAACTTCACAAACTCAGTTCCCATTCACCTCAACGGTCCATCTCAGAATGGCGCAAGGCCGACTCACAACTCTTCCCGCAGAGACTGTTGGGTGTATATCGCAACACCTCGAGTCACCTGATCTGCTAAGCTTACGCTCCGCCTGCCGGGCTCTAGCTGACAAGACATCTGGACCTTTCCAGGACCGTTTCTTTCGCACGCGCCATATCATGCTTGAACATCAGAGCATCCGGAACCTGGTCGAGATCTCTCACCATTCAGTTTTCCGTTGCGCGGTGCAAGTCGTCGAACTCACTACTGATCACTTGGTCGCGCCTCCGGATTACATGAGCCGAGCGGACTATGAGATGTGTGGGATTAACGATGAATATGATTGCATCAGGCTCAGCGACGGTGAGACTTTGTCACTTGGCGATGACAGTTACGAGGCTGTTATTGAGAGGTATAGGGCCGAATGGGGTAGCTACAGGGACTTCCTTCTGAGAAAGGGAGACTGGATCAGGGACTTGGTTGAGGCACTATCCAACCTCCCTCATTGCAAAGCTGTCGGCATTGACGACGACGTCCGTCCCTGGGGGGCCCTTCGACTCGGTCGCCGCATTGGCACGTTTCCGAACCGCTTCGTCACTCCCTTCCAGGCCCAGAGTATGGTCTTTGCCACCACGTTGATCAGAGCCCTGTTCATAGGACTGCTGCACAGTCGCCATGCTGTAGAGAGACTCTATATTCAGTTTGGCGATCTGAAGACGGGCTGCACCTCTGTCACCCCACGCATGCTATCAACGATCCCTGTGTCTGTAGACACTTTGAAGAATCGGCTTGCTCCCATCAAAACCCTGCTACTTGTGGTCAACCCAAACAGCCACCAGAACGCATTCGATGAGGATGTGAAGAAACTAGTTTCCAACACCGACCCGATCCAGACTACGGATTCCGATTGGTGTCCGGAGTTCTGCGGCTTCCTCCGTCTTTTTCTCACGCTGACCGACTTCACCTTACACTTCAATCCCCGCGACGAAAGGCAGCAATTTCCGAGGCTTTCCGAGGATCTTCGAATTCCCAGCCTCCAGAGCCTCCGTATCGAGTTCGTCGACTGCACAAGGGACGAGCTTATGACGTTGCTAGAGGGGCATCGCGACACGCTTCGGGAGCTTGTTCTCGAGTCCGTTGATGTCACTGGAGGGGGGCGAAAGACGTGGTCCTCGCTCCTCGGAAGTCTCCAGCATAGCCTCAGGTTAGAGGCAATAGACTTGGGGAACTGTATGGTGGATGGGTTTTATCTCTGTTCACGCTCCTCGGTAACGTTTCTCAACCAAAGGTTTTGCGCAAGTGGCCCTGAGGAGATTGAGGCTATGCGGTCAGCATTAGATGGGTTAGAAGAGTCGGAAGCGTTCCCCTGGTCAAGACGATCTCATGGTGAGTAATGCAGAGTTTAAGTAACGTATGAGATCACCGCGTCCACAAAGGTTATAAAACCCACTCGCCTGAGGTAAAGCATTCTTGTTCCACTCTAACCTGCTTCAGTGATATATAAGCTATGTATCTAGCTCCCTATCCTATCACCTATTACCTATAGATCTATCCCTAAGGTCCTAGCTGCTAAGCACACTATATACGCGCCGAACACACAAACAGCTAAGTGTCCTTTCGCCCGTTGCCAACGTCTCGCTCATCACATCGCTATCCGCCGCTAGGCTTTATCGGCAACGATATCACCCTCATTCCCAACACCAGTCGAGAGGCCTCGTAGCTTGGTGGTAGAGCGCTCCTCTAGCTAAGGAGAAGATCCAGGTTCGAATCCAGGTGAGGTCGTTCATTTTTCCTTTTTCTTGCGTTTCTTTTTGTTCTTCCCCCCCTTCCCCGTAATTGGCTGGCTGACGCCCTCTGCCTCGGCCCCGTCGCCCCGCCTCGCCGTCCGGGCCGGGCTGACGGCGGCGGGCCCCGCTCTTATCCCGGGCCCAGCGACGTCGCCCGCAAGCGTTGCTCCTCGCCGACTCAGCAATCTGTCAAGCTAACTCCTAACGCTTGACGTGCGTCGAAAGGCCTAAGTAGGAGAACGGTAGTAGGCTGAATCACTGGTTGAGGGCCTATCAGCTTAATTAGTCGAGCACTCCTAACCCTAAGGAGAAGATCTGGGTTCGAGTCCTGGGTGGGCCTCTTTTTTTGCACCCTCTGTCGCTTGTCCATTTCTTCCCCGTTGCGCCGCTGCAGGAGCGCGGCGGCGCGGCAGCTGGTTGCAATGCCGGTTTAGGATGCGCCTGCGGGCCGCCGCCGGGCTGGGCGGGTTCGATTCGTATGTATGCCCGAAACGACCGTCATGCGCGCGAGACTACGGCCGCGCATGCCTTAAAGGCGTGAAACGTCGCAGAGATATCACCAGTTGGGATGAGAGGCCTGCCAGCTTAATTGGCAGAGCTCCCCTCTAGCTAAGGGGAAGGTCCGGGTTCGAGTCCTGGGCGGGTCGCAACTTTTGCAGCTTTTTTTCTGTGCAACCTTTTGCCCTGATCTCAAATATCCAGTCCGTTTTGTCATAGGCCTCTCCGTTGGCAAGAAATCTCTTGTTTAGGCTTTATTTCGTTTACACTCTCAGTTCTAAGCTATCAGAGTGCAATACCTTACGTATACTTACGAATATGTTGATAAAATTCCCTCTCCTGCAAGGCACCGCCTAGCCTCACATTATATACTATATCTAGGTCTCTCGTATCTCCAATCCCCGTTTATACTCTCCTTCCTCAGGATAATGGTCCTGTTGGCGAGGTACACAACCTTTCGACATAACAGTCGATGTGTCCCCCGCGTGATGGCTCAGCAAGAGAGGCTGGTGGAGAAACGCATCACCTGGCTCCTATCGGATTCGCCCACCGAAATTGGAAAAAAAAAACCAAAGGCATCTGCATCTCCTACTCAATTCCTATTATCTCTATTCCCTTATTCGCCTGTTTATTGTATTTATATAACCTTATCGATCCTTGATGATGCTCGCGCAACGCTCCGTCCAGATGCTGTCCTGGCTGTTGAAGACCACGCTGATAAAGTCGTCTGGTCGTTTCATGGCCGACCGTAGCTCTCGGAGTGTCTGGAGGAGGTCCTCTTGAGGCCGCAGCTGCAGGTCTGTGTTTCGGGGGCTGTCGCGGTTGCTTTTTGAGGTGACCCAACCCAGCTCACGCAACATCCTGTTGCTGCACCCCTTATGCTCTACAGCGCTGTTAGCATCATAAGCCTCACACCATCCCTGCGTTATACTGTACCAATCTTCTTCGTCATCTCGGCTACATCATAGGCCGTCCCACTTGAACCCTTCTTCCAGGGGAACGAGGCGGGGTAGAGGAACCACATCATCCTCGTGACCATAACGAGGGCCAGCTGGGCCGGGTCCTTTCTCTTGGCTGCGGTCCCGAATTTGCGCGACCCAGGCGCGACCTCTGGCGTTTCCGATGAGGAGCAAACGGTCAATGTGATCATCAGCATCAGGCAACAGAGGGGGTCCTCGATGTTGCTGTAGAGGACGTTTATCGCTAGCTGGTAGTGGTCCAGAACCTGTATATCGCCCTTGTTAGAGAAGATCGCCTTAGCCTTGAGAAAACCGTCCGTAATAAGGCTGGGGACGTCGGTGAAGGGGAAGCTGCAGCCGAAGTTGATGGTTCTGCGCGTCTGCCTGAGCGCCCGGTCGTGCGCAGCTTTCTCGTGCTTGATTTGAGCTTCCTGCGCCGCGCGCCTCAGGGAGCCTGGCGGGCCGGTTACTACTACGTGCGCGACCTCTCGACCGCACAGGCTGACGACGGTTGTTGACGTTAAGCGGCCCTTGACGGCGTCAGGCACCCACTCAACACCGGCCGCGAGGAGTCGGCTGGCTATCACGGAGACCCACTCGTCGGGCTTGAGTCCGTTGCTGGCCTGGTTGCCGCTAGTTATGGCCGCCTGTAGATGGTCCGGCCATGTCGCGTTGACTGGCGCGGATGCTGCCCGCCCCTTCTCAGTAGAGACAACGCGGAGAAGCTGAGTAGCAAAGTCGTGCCTGGTGCGCGTCCTCGACAAGGTTATTTTTATGCGCGAGCCGCCTGAGGTGAGACCGTCAATTAGCCGCTGTAGCGCCACATGGGTGAAGGCGTCTGGCGCCGCTTCCCACGCCTCAACAGCAGACTTACACGCCTCTTTCTGCTCTAAGGTAATAGGCATACTACCAGTGTCGCTACTACCTTCTTGCAGCCTGCGCCGTAGTTGGTTAGCTATGAAGAGCTTCGTCTGGGGGATCCACATCTCCCGCATGAGTTCCGTCACATATTCCGTCACAGCTGCATGGCTCTTGAATGCGTCCCGGCCTAGCTGGCTGAACCAGATCTCGGTCTCCCGGTGGGAGGCAAGGCGGTCGCCGTAGTGGTGCTGTAGCTCGCTAATATGGAGCAGTATAAGCCTTCCCGTCTTCGCGGAGCGGGGCCACCGGCTGGTGTCCATAAAGCAGGTCGCTGCCCCGGCTGGAGCGAGGTCTAGTACGGCTGGGTCGATATAGGGCCACGCCCCAGCCAGAAGGCTGTCGATGGTGCCTAGCGGCCGGAGCACCGTCTTCGGCAGGTGGCGCTCATGCCCGGTGAAGATATACCCACCAAGCCGGTCAAGTACTGCAACAGCCTCAGAGTGTGCGAGGTCTAGGCCGCGCTCGCCGCCAGCAACGTAACGCCGTTCCATCTCACAGATAGCAAGCTCAAACAGGCGGCAGTAGGCTGACATGATACGGGGGAAGATTCCGACTGGTATAGACCGAAAGATGTGGACATACGACTCATGCTCTGTGAGGAAGAAGCGCATGAGTTGGAAAATAGGGCGAATAACGTTCTCGAATGTGCGCTCAACGCTGTCCATATGTCGTATATTGAGTGATACAACCTGCTCCATCCGGTATGCTACCTCATCCTTCTCGATAGCGATGTCCAGCTGCCTACGCTCTCGCGCAAATGGCTTAGACTCCTCAGGCTGCTCAGGCGTGAGGTCGCCACGGATACAACGTAGCAGCCTCTCCCGCCTGTCTCTTGTGTACGACATGGCGGATGTGTGTGACGTTGGGGCTGTTAGCGCTGCTGTCGCGTACCCCTTCGTTGCGAGGAGGGCGCTGGCGCTGTGGCGCACGCTTCTCTTGATGTTGGAGTAGCCCTGGAAGTAGCCGAACGACAGCACGTCTGCGCCCTCATTGCGGTCGCTCATATTCCCCTGTATAGCGGTGTAGAGCGAGTTGAGGAAGGCGGGCGGCTGGCTGGATGAGAAGTTTCCATACGTTGGGTGGAAGGCCTGCGGGTAGAAGGTGTAGTCGCGGTTACCAGGGTACTCTCGCGCCACCATGTTCCGGTCGGCGAGGAGGCAGCGCGTCTGCGAGCTACCCGACTCGCTGTTGATACAGACTGCAAGGGCGTACGATATAGCACTGATACTGCTGAGATCAAAGCGGGCGTCGAGCTCTATAATCATCCTCTGCAGGTCCCTGCTCTCCCTGAGCATCTGCTGGTACTCCCGGCCGTCCACTGCATCGCTGTGTGTTCTTTGTTCATCGTTAAGAGAGAGCTCTTCAATGTCCTGCTGAACATTTCCATCTCTAGGGCCCTGCTCCCCGCCCTCCTCCTCCTCCTCCTCCTCCTCCTCCTCATAGGGTATATGCCTCTCGCGCGGCAGGTCGTAGATGCTATCGCTGACCTGAATCTCGATATTCGCGCCGTAGTCATACGCGTGGAACGCCGGCTCGTGGCGTCGCCAGAATGAATTGTGGTTGTGGTTGCTGGCCCAGACAGCCCAACCGTCCATGAACTGCTGCTGGAAGACCTGCCACTTAGCTGAGCTTATACGCTGAGTGCTCTTTGTCCCCAACCGCCAGCAGGCCTCAACCCCCTCGCCAAGCAGCTGCGGCGACTGGAAGACGCCCACGATATATGCAGCCAGCTCGCGGGCTAACCCAGCCGGCATCCCGCTCTTCTCTGAGGCCGTCTGTCTCTCGCGCGGGCCCCCGCCCCTGGAGGTCGGCTCGTGCGCCACGGGGTGCATGACGACGAACCAGACCTCTCGGGTACCAGCCTTGGCGACCCTGAACGTGCGCCCGGTGATATCGAACGGGATGCCGCCGATATGCTTTGCGCTATAGGGCGCTGCGTATGACTCAAGAGAGAACTCGATGTTGTCGAAGACGGGCCCGTCGCTTTTCGTGATGGGGCTGCGTGGCTTGCCGACGATGCTGAAGAAGTCAAGGAAGAACTGCGGGAAGAAGGCGTCCGTGGCCTTCGCTGGCGCGCTACCTCCAGCGCGAGACCCAAAGTCAATAGTGTGCTTCTCCTGTAGCATCTTGATAGCATCGGCTGGCTCGAAATCACTTCGGAGGACCTTTTCGATGAAGCGTCTAGCTGAGGAGAGGGGTGAGAGGCGTTAGCATATTCTTCTCATAGCTAGTTTAATTCCTTCCGCATATATACCTCGGAACCGGTGGTGCCCTGAGGAGTGGTCCACAGCCCAACGGTGGCCGTCCCACCCATTGTCGCCTTCATCCTCATGTTGGCGGGTTGAGTCCTGGTTGTGGGCGAAGGGATCGTTATTATGGTCCAGGCTAGAGGTATCCTCTGCATCGGGTAGGCCATCACTATCTACTAGCGACTCGGTGATAACATCTCCCTCATAGATTAAAGACATCTTAATGTAGCTGCGGTGGGATGCTAGGTGTTACTATTCACGGTCTTGGGTGTGCGTAATGTATGTAGGTGCTAGGTGAGGTCTCTTGTACTATACTTTCTAGGGATTCTATGTAGGACTACCTATATATCATCTACTAGGAGATTACTTACCAACCACTTATCTATTAGGGTATTGACTACTGCTTGTTGTCCTGCTCCCCGTGTAACTCTCACCCACTATAAGTCCAGGAGGGCAGATATGCAGCATGTGCCGCCTGTGTTTTATCGGGGAGAGTGGAGGAATCCTCTTTCCCTCTTACTAGACTAAAGCCCTATTAAGACAGCTTGATATCATGTCAATAAAAACAAAACCTCGAATTGGTCTGACATTCGTCTGCCTAAGAATGTACGGTCTGCACAAATGCCCTCCCGGGCGTGAAGCTGATGATGACGACCTCAATAAGGGATGGACTGGGGCACATCTGGAATTGGGGGCCCACTTAGTGTGAAACTAGGCAACCTTCTTTGTATGTGCCCGCCGGGCGCAGGTATTTGCTGAGGCATCTTCTATTGGCTATGTTTCAAACGGGCAGGCTTGCAGCGTTCTTCAGAACAACTTTCCCAAACGAATTGTCTATGTAAGGTATGCAAGGGATCCCCAGGCCTGCAGACGCGACCACGACTGCTACTATACTGCTGCTCTGGCTGGTTTCCTAGCTCTAGGCCCCAGCTTCCAGCGTGGAACTGGTTTCTGGCTGGCGGTGGTCGCTGGCGCCTTGGGCGAAGGCAGAGGGCGCCACTGTTGATGTGACGGCGGCGGCGGGGAAGGGGAGGAGGGGGAGGAGGGGGAGGAGGGAATACTGTTACGGCGCCTGGGCTGTGAAACACCTCGAGCATCGTCGTCGTCATCATCATCATTGCTATTGTTGTTGCTGCTGCTCTGTTGGCGCTGGCGCGCAGACTGCTTAGTGGTGATGGCGGGCGCGTCCTGTGTCGGCTGGTCCTCGTCGCCAGGGCAGTCCAGCGCTGCTGCAGATCCGTTGGAGGGCGTGAGGTAGGCGTTTACGAGCTCCTCCACCTTCTGCTGGGTAGCTTGTCTAGCTGCGACGTCCTGCTGGCCGGCGAGCTTGAACAGATTGGCGCAGAACCCCTGCACGAGGGTAGAGGCCTTGGCCTGGCGCTCGCTCCTCCTTGTTGCGCACTCCGTCGTCCACAACGGGCGTAGCGTGTGGCCCTCCCTGTCGGTTGACTGACGCACCATCTTCAGCAGACGCGCCCACGCCACGTGCTTGAAGCGCTGCCCGTATAAGCCGTCTTCGCTGTCCTGCTCCTCATCGCCTATCGCGTCATCATCCAGGAGTGGGAGCAGCTCCGGCGCCCGGAACTCGGCTAGGTTGTCCCGTACGAAGTCCAGAATACGTCGCTGGAGCTGTACTGCTGCGATCGCGGGGAAGGCCCCGGGAGCCCAGCCCCTATGGGAGGCGAGGTCGTCTAGCGCTATCGACAGGTGCTCCCGGAGGAGGGGCTTATTCCTATCCTTAGGCCTGACGTTGTCGACAGCTGCAGCTTGCTCTGGACTGATCCAGCAGATCACGTGGCAGAGCACGCGGACGGCTATCTGGATCTCCGTCTTCTTGCAGTGGAGGATACGCCTTAGGTCGGGGAACGTAAGCACCAGCGAGTTTGTGATAACATCATGGACGAGGTGGTAGGTGTGATCGTCCATGTTCGCAAGGAACCCGTCGACCCGTGTACGTGCTTCAAGCCCCGCCTGCTGCTGTCCGGACGTGTAGAATACGCTCGTAATATCGGGGGCGGCTTGGCAAGTTGAGAGCCTGTCCCAGTCGGCGGGCGTGATGTAGACCTGCTCGTCCGCGGGTAGGTCGGCTAAAACGCTGAGAACCTCGTTAAGGGCATCAATCCAGTACTCGTCGATGCGGAGGCTAGCAATCCACTCAAAGTATGAAATATTGAAGGTGTCTAACCCCAGCCTTGTGCAGCACCACTGCGTCGTGACAGGCCGCCATCTCTGGTGGTTCCACAACGTAACGAGCCTCCGCGTTGGGAAATGCTTCTCGCCGCCGAGGCGGAGTGCCTCGACGACGTGCTGGTCTACGGCGGCGTCCTCCCCGCCTAGCTGTCCGTCTGCCTGCCCTCCTATGCAGGCGATGGACGCAAGCTGCGTCCAGATCTGCCCGTGATTGTCGGGCAGGCTTGGATCGCGCCTGTTGACGCGGAGCTTGACGTTCAGGTCGCGCGGCAGGCGGTCTTTGGGTTTCCATGTCGTCCGTTAGCCTCTTGTGAACACAGGCTCATGCCTTGAGCTTGGGGGCTATACCTTTGTCATACAGCTCGCACGCCCACCATAGGTCGGAGCCTGGTGCGCCCGTCTCCTTGACGTACTCGCGGAGCGCCTGGATACGGTGCTGGCCGGCCATGACCTCGGCCTGGCCCCCGCTCACTTCGGCCCAGCGTAAAAAGGAGAGCTCGCAAGGACTGTCGTTATCATCGTTGTCGTCCTCTCCGTCGTCCTCCTCTCGCCCCTCTATGCCGCCACCGTCCTGCTGCATAAGGCTGACTGCCTCGGCGCTGCAGAGGACGGTGATCCGGTTCTCCGGCGCCCGCCGTTCCAGCCCGCCGCTCCTGAATGCGTGTAACAGCTCCTGGACGTGGGCTGCGTTAATAGGGCGGTTCCTGCCGACGCTCCAGGCTGTGTCCAGCACGTCGATGGGCATCCTGGCAACGGCGAGGAGGAAAGGTCGCGCCCGTTCTCGCGCGGACGATGTTTCTGTAAAGGGGGAGCTGATCTCATCTTCTCTCCTGGCCCGGACCCGCCTCCTCAGCCCTGATGCTGATGCCGCTGTTGCTGCTTTCTTTCTATCGCCCTCATCACACTTCCTCTTCCGCTTGTCGCTGAGCACTCTGGCCATTGCGGTGATATGCAGTGTATTTTTCAACTGCCGCCTGATAGCCTGTGCTGGCTGTTCCTGTTGTTTCTTCGTTAATTTTCTTGTCTTTCTTGCCCCTGGGGGCTTAGGGATAGGTGGTTAAGGGGGTGGGGGTGCTTGTGATCAGATGAGATGTGTGCACAAATGAGACGGGAAGATGGGATGATGGATGCTTGGAAGGGGTGCGTATTTGGCAGGGCGGCCGGATGCGATTGGTCCGAGGCTGCTGTAGTACACTAATCTTCTATGTTTTTATATGCTAGGTGGGGGACGGCTACGCAGCAGAGGGAGCTGACTCACCCCACCACAGTTAGCGTATTCACGTCCGGTAGCAGCAGCAGCAGCAGCGGCATAACTAACCTCAGGTCATGCTGTAAGGTAATAAACAGATCAGGCGTCGGAATACACCTATGATAGGTGGTGCTATGAACACTTATACGCACTATTAGTCGCCCTCTGGATAAATAGCTGTCCTACCCCCATAATCGCACGTCTTTCATACTCAGGATTGGCGCCCTTAACTGGCTGGGTCACTGGCTGTGCTAGCTCCTGGGACGCCCTGGGTATCTGACGAGTCTAGGGCAATAAGGACAAGCTATGCCTGCCTATACTGCGTATGCTCCCTCCTGTTTTCTAGTTGAGGAACAACTCTGGGGAGAGGTGTTGAACATAGGGTCTGTTGTAAGGTTGGAAATACCCTCCTTAGAGCTGAGGTATCATAGCCCAACCTATGTATGACTATAACTAGAAAGAGAAGTGGTAGTGATCCGGCTACTTGTTTATACGTAATGATATGTAGATATATTTAACCTGCAGTATAGCGCGTCTTATGTTAACCTTTGCTCCCAGATCTTGTCTAGGTGGCGGTGTTGATGATCATACCCTGTAGAACAATAACATTCTAATGTTGTGATAAAATTTCTTAGAAAAAATGTTACCTGTTTATATGATGGCCTGTTTTGCCTGTTTGAGTTCTAGATCACTTTGCTCGCTCCTATCTAAACTATCCCATCTGCCCTTATCCTAGGTAGAACGTTATGCGCAGGGCTATTTGCGATTTGCTTCCCCAAACTCATAATTTCACAGTGATCTGCTCGGCCGGTTGGATACTCAACTAGCTATTACATAATCAACGGCTGTCGGGCCCTGGCTTATTCCGATGGAGTGGGTCGGGACCAACAGGGCCCCGGACCTACCTGAGGTCCTCCCTTGGCTCTCCCTTGCCCATTAACGATGAATTTGCGCTGTCTGAGTTGCACATCTTGCTGTATACCATAAGTAAACATGCTTCCTGTCACCCTTTACAAATGTCTATATACTGACTGAGGCTTTGCGCGGATATCTGCTTACTGGTGCCCTGATATACTCTTTATCTAGGACGATGGAGTTTGTGATGGTTTATCCTATGGTTAGCTGGCCTTCTTGTCTTGCCCCTGCTTGACGCGTTGGTCTCACTCTTAACGCGACATTATACATTAGTCCGCTTCCGGCCAGGGTCTTACTTCTCGCGGACAAACACGCCTAGACCAAACGCGTGGATAGCCAAGGATATCTAACCCTCTTCTATCTCCTACGCGTCCCCCGTTTTCTCTACCCTCAATCTCCTCTTCCTCTATTCATCTGTTCATCTATCTATCGGTGAATATATCTATTGCTACTCCTGCTGAGGCTGTTTATATATATCGTGCTCCCTGTTGGCCAGCTCTATATGCTTACTAGGATTGTCGTTCTATGCTCTATACTATCCTCCTCCTTCTAGGGATTTTGCTATCTTTCGAGCGATTGTATTCCTCCTCTTGGGATAGACAGGACCGGGCTGAGTAGCAACTCATACAGGCTCTGGGAGAGCCATGCAGGTAGGCACATCTTCACTTGAGCGCCTGCGGGGGTTAGCAGTGGGACTAGCCTGCCTAGGCGTCTAGATATCGATGCTAAGGAAGATATAGGTAAGTAAAAGCATAGAAACTTTTACGCTTTCCAAGCGGACGCTGTTGAACGAAGCTTTATGGGAGGCTATCAAACTTCCTAGCATCGGCTGGTTGATGCCCGCGAGGGCGTGGCACTTTCTATGCCCCCAAGGGCATGAGCTGATTGATGCCCCCGAGGGTGTGGCACTTTCTATGCCCCCAAGGGCGTGAGCTGGTTGATGCCCCCGAGGGCATGAGCTGGTTGATGCCCCCGAGGGCATGGCATGGCACTGGTTCCTCTATCAACTTCGCTAGCCTAGTTCACTACTGCTGCTACGACTATCTATTAATCTAACTGTCCATCTTAATACCTTGTGTACCTATATATGTGTTGCTTCGTTGAAATGTCAATAAATATGTCCCGTTTTTTTTCGTTTTGCCTAACCCTACCCTGGCCCGACCCGTCCCGTGGGGCCGCGCTACTCCTTGCTTTATTCTGATCAGGTTATAGGCTCCTTTGAGGTTGAGGGCTGTAAACTAGTTGGCTCCGTGGAGGAGTTGTCTCATTTTGTTAATAAGCGGTAGTGGGTAACGATTTTTAATCGTCATTTTGTTGAGCATGCAGTAGTTAACGCATAATTGTAGTTTTCTGTTCTTTTTGGGTATGAATAGGATTAGGCTTCCTGCTGGTGATGTTGAGGGTCTGATATATCCCTTCTTGAGGTTCTCTTCAAGGTATTTGTCTAGGGCGTCTATCTCTATTTAGTTGAGTCTATAGATTTTGTTGAAGCATGGTTTCTTCTATTTTTTGAGGGGTATTTTGTGGTTAAAACTGGTGTGTTCAGGCAGTCTGGTTTCTAATTCGGCTGCAAAGAGTTTCTTATAAACTCTGTATTCTTCTAGGATAGACAGAAGTAGATCGTTCTTCTGTTTGAGATCTATTGTTATCAGTGGTTGTGATACAGCTTCTTTTGCCTTAAGGTAACAGAGGTATCGTTTTGCTGTTCCTTATCGTATTGATTTGTTTGAGGCCTGATTCTAATAGGGCTGCTTAGGGACTGAATCATTATGGTCCTAATAGAGTTAGCCTTTGCTCTAATCTATCTGTAGGTTGCTTGTTTGTAGCCAGGGTAGTCCTAGCATTATATTATATATTCCTAGATCGGCAATATTAAATTAGATTCTTTCTTTTCGATTTAGGTAGCTTATCTTAAGGGGCGCAGTCTTATTATAGATAGTACCTCCTTTATACTTAAATTCTTCTCCTTCTGCTGTGTGTAACTGATATAGTTGTTCTTTTCCTCCCCATCATATTTCTAGCCTATTAATAGCTTAGGGGGTAATAAAGTTTGCTTCAGCTCTGCTGTCGATCAGCATAAGTGTTGTCTGCTGGTTGATAGCAACTTTAAGTTTAATATTACCCTTATATCCTTATGATATTTAGTGAATAGATCTTATGTTTGTTGCCTGTTGTGATCTGTCGTCAGTAGGTAAGTCTAGCTTTTTAACTGCTTTAGTTGTCCTAGGTAGGTGATTTGCTTTCCCTCTTATTATGCTTTTGCGAGGCTGTTTTCGCAGATCCTAACCTATAGAGGTCTAGGTCTATTCTTTGCGATTCTCTAGGCGTATGCCTTTTCTTAGTAATATACTTAGTATTCATCTTATTAGCATTCGTCCTATTTTATATTATTATTATGTTAACATCTTATAGGAAATTATAGGCTAGGTTTGAATACTATAAGGCTGTCTTTAAATAGTACTATAATCTATCTAATCATAATAGAGGTTAAGTAGATCTTATAGATAGGTTCGTCGTTATGTCTTCTGGGGTAGAACTAGTAGTTATGCTTTTCTCCTATATATTCCTTGCATTTGTCGTGGAAGCACTAGGGCTAGAAGAGGGTTTAGTGAAGCTGGTGGTTGCTTCTCAGCGTGGGATGATCTTCTGTGTGTAGCTGAGGGGTGTAGCCTCAGTCTTATTAGGCTGCTGAGGTGCTATAGAAGTGGCGTTATTGCTTATCTTAAAGCATGTTGATTTCTTAGTATCTTAGAAGTTGCTTAGTTCTTTCTTCCTGGTCGTTAGGTTCCTCTTCAGAGCTGGAGTCATCCATACTAAGGGTGAACCTATAGGCGATCCCTGTCTGAGCGCGTTGTTAGGCAACGTTGCGAGGTTTATCTGAGTCATAGGGGGAGCTTTCTCCTTCTCCAAAAGTCTAGTTGTTAGTTATATTGAGGAGTTATTATTCTATCAGAGGATTATGTTGGTGTTCTGGTTCTTCTTCTGATTCTTATTGTTAATATAGTTATGCTTATCTGTCGTCTTCTTACTGGATTAGCTCTATTTCCTTCTGGATTTGTTATTCTTTGTAGTGGAGTTGCTAGCTAGTTATATAGGGGGTGATTAGTTCTAATTGCTAAATTCGTAGCATCTCGTTAAGTTGCTCAACTGGTTTTCTAGCCACTTTGCTGTTACTGGAATACATTATTGCCAGGGTCCTAGGGCGAGTGTCTAGGATGGTTATATTATAACCAGACCGTCTAGGGTTGCTACCCCTTAGGTAGTGTCCTGATATTTCTTTATCTTTGAGGTGAATTCAGCAGTAGTTATTATAATATCTAGTCCACGATTAGGATATATGTGGGGCTTTTGCGATCATATTAACTTATCGGGGTCGTTCTGCCACTGGTCTCTAGGAGAGCTTCTTAGGCTGTCTGCAGTCTTTAGCGATATAGCCTTACTTATTGCAGTTGTAGCATTTAGGGTTCTAAGGCTTTTTGTTGTTAGGTTTAGTCATCATGCTGAGATCTATAGGTCTGCTGTGTTGTCTGTAGGTGGTGCTCTAGCAGGTGTTATTCCAGTTGTTGCAGGGTCTGTTGTCGTTCTGCTAGCTGTTGAACTTCTGTTGAGGCTGCTATTAGTACTTACGTCCTGAATTCAGATTTTATTATTTCTCTCCTTATTCCTTTCGTTGTTTATAGAGGTGGTTGTCAACCTTAATAGCATGTTCGACATAGGCGAGGAAGCTAGGAGGTGTCTCTAGTTTAGCTATTTCGTCTTTAACATTATCCTTAAGT